GGGAGGGGAGTGGACCGATAAGAGGACATATACACACCGCGGGGAGGTAGACATGCGTGTCGAGCCGTGGCCATGGCGACGCTCGCCCTGACGTCAGTTCGGCACGCTATAGCACACGGGAGGCACCATGTAGACAGCCGCCGCGCGCCTCATGGGGGGGGGGGGGCAGAGAACTTCCAGGGAGAGAGAGAGACGTCATGGTCGGGGAAGAGCCACCCCACCCCATACACACGCCGGCTCGGCGGGCTCTCCCCGCACAGCTCTCCTCTCCCCTCATACTGAGCGCCTCGCGAGCAGGGAACGCGGTAACTTGACGGACACGTCAGACACAACAGCCCGATGAGCAGGCGACAGCCGTCCCAAAGAGTCGTCCCAGTGAGTAAAACGACCCCACACTGCAAAACAGCAGGTTCGTGTTTGTGCGGGCCCAGGCTCAGACCCATCAATGGAGTCCACACCCCTACCCCCCGACCCCAGCACGGAGCAGTTCGCGCATAATATTCGCCCCGATTCGCTCACTCTGCCCCGCGCTCGCCAAGGCCATCGCCATCATATCGGCCGGGGCCCGGCCGGCGTGACACGGGCGCGCCAAGCCGCGAACCTCGCTTTCTATTTGCATGGCAACTGCAAAACAAAACACGCGAAAGCGCGCCTGTCCCCTCCGAAACAGGACCCGGCGAGAAGCAACATGTAGTTTCAATCTTGCCCCCCTCTGTTCTGTTCTGTCTGTCTGTCTCTTCCGCTTTGTTTCTCTCTCTTACCTTCCCTCTCTTTCTGTTTCGTCGCGCTCCAGGCCGGTCAGAGGCGAAATTGTTTCTAACTCAACTTATTCTCCCCAGCGTGCCCGTGCCCCAGCAGCGTGAGGACAGACGACGGCAGGGGAAAAACAGAAACTGAAAGAAACTAGGGAACGAAAGAACGAACGATTTTGAAACAAATAACAATGGGAGCGACTCGCGATGCGACGCGCGATGCCCTGCGGGGGCGGAGCAGCCTGGCTCGGGAGGACCGTCTGCTGGCCTCGACTGCCGGGCCGAGCGCCTGCAGTGGGAGGGGTAGGCAACCCACCGCGCGGGCGTGCAATGGCGTAGCCTGTCTGCGGGCGCCCCCGCTCCGCCGAGCTTCAGGAGAGCGACAGGGAGGGACATTGTGAAAGTGTCGTTGAGTGTACGATTTCCAATGGTACATTTTCAAAATTCTGTCGAACTCTGCGACGCGAGCCAAGGGTCTGTAGTGAAACCGATCACCATATTTAAAAGAATGAAAATTACAAAAACTAGTGCAAATTGGGAATTGTTTTTAGTCTCTCGGTTGGTAAAGAGTGAGTGTGAATGAGCGAAACTTGCGTCGTCCGTCGTGCATCTGACCGGTCATTGCATCGACCGCTCTGCTCCGATAGGCTGCCCGTGTGAGTAAATGAGTGAGTAGTGATTCATTCGGTACCATACACAGACGAGGCGCGGGGCGGCGGGGACGAGTCGTGCGCGCACACACACTCACATGTGATCGATCCGCAGTGGTCGGCCACGCCGGCATACTACTACTACACGAACGAGTTACAGGTGGTGAGCCAGCCACGCTGCGCTATGAGGAAAAGCCGACACAGAATTGCTGTGCCGTAAAAATCATATTTCCATTGAGAGTGCGTTGCTTTGTTAGTAGGTTACGCCACATTCCGCAGTATCGCGAGAGAAACCGCCAAATATTGGTCACTCTTAATTCCGCTCAATTCCTTACCTTCCAAAGAGTGTATTGTTAATATTACAAATGGATTCTCTTCGTTTGACTTCATCGATTTGTGAAAGACACGAGCTCTTCGTAAAATAGATTAATTTATTTTTGCAGTACAAAGGTTCTTTGTAAAGCACGGCACAAAGAGCAGTATTCTTTATAAGAAACGTAAACTTTGTTTTGTTTTTTTTCCTCTGAAACTGTAAATAAATAGGACTCTTTACCAGAAACACAACTTATTAGAAACGGCCCTCTTCAATGCTGCTTGCAGTTACGGACGCGCGGCACTGTCGCGGCTCGCGGAGCGAGTGGGGGAAGGGAAATACAGTTCTTTGGCGTCTCTCTCTCTCTCTCTCTCTCTCTCTCTCTCTCTCTCTCTCTCTCTCTCTCAACAACCCGGGGCCCCGCCGTGTCTCACCCACCACCAACCCTTTCTCCCACCCCCTCCCCCAAGACCCCAGTAAAATAACGGGCGTTTTTTTACGAGGGGACATAAACGAAAGCCTCTGCCACCCGCCCCGCCCCTACTCCTCGTCTCACCTGCGCCCGCCCCTGGGCCCGCCCTGGGCCTTCCCTCCCAGATGGCGCCGCCCCCGGGGGCGGCCCCCCTTTACTCCACGGCGGCGGCGCCGTCCCCCCGATGGGACAGGAATGACGCCTACGCGCCGCGTGTCCCCCGCCGCGGAGTGAGCCAAGGATTTTATTGTCTGCTCATTATTGTCCTATTGGGGCGAGCAGCCGCACTGAACATAAAGTGTGCGCGTCTTTAAATAAAACCTTTCCAAAAACTTCCATGACAATTGTTCAGCCTACCATAACTTTAATGCTTAGAAAAATGTATATTTCTAAATGAGAAAGGATATTTTGCAGCCAAGACGTGCTTTAAGTACATAGCACGCATAACGATTTTTTGTGTCTTTATAGTTTAGGGACAAATTTGCATCTTATTGAGATGTCTTAGGAACACATTCTCGCTGCATTCAAAATTATCTTTCACCATATTTAGAATGCACAATGCACACCGGGGTCACGTCGCACTGATTCTGATTGTGTCAAGGGAAGATTTTCACAATTTCTTTGATAAACTCTCCTTTTATTTTAATCACACGAAAACAAGTATCAGACATTTCCCCATCGAGCGCCACATCTTTTATGGTTATCACTCGTTATACTTTACGTCGTTTCGTGGTTGACGCGACAAGGTTGACGCGTGTGTGTTTGGGCTCACCAGATCTCCAGGAAGAGCTGACGGACCCGCCGCTGCTCCTCGTGGCTGCGCCGCCGGTACTGGAGCCGCCTGCAGTCCTCCGGGGGCGGCAGTTCCTTGTAGTAACCTGCGGGCCAGGGCAGAGACAGAACGGTAATGACGGCGGCGTGACAGCGACGACGGCGGCCAGGACGATGACGACAACGACAACGAGGACAACGGTATGGCGGCGGCCGTGAGGAAGAAGAGATGACATTACATTGTCTCGGCGCGGCGCGCTAGCACGACATCGCCCCGCCATTACGGGGCCACCCCTGGGAAATAACTGGCACAGGCTAGGGGTGGGTTGGAAAAAGGGGGGGGGGCGGCACCTCTTCGACGAACACCTTCAATGAGCGACAGCAGCTGCAGGACTTCATTTCCCCCTCGGTCTACCTCGGGGCATATTTCCCTATTGTGCAATCACTGTTGTACTACTGTTTTCAATTAAAGTTGTGGGTTTTACGGGGAAAAAATTATATCGTAAAATTTGCGTGTCGTAGAACTACGATTTAAAATGGTAAAATTACAAGCATAACACATCGACTTGAAATTTATCGAAGAGCACGAATGGGCTGCGTAAATTAACAACAAATTCTGTTATGCAATTACAAATATATCGTAAACTTACAAGGATATTTTTCGCAGTAATTTTTATTCCAAATGTACATCTATGCTAGAAAGTTTTTTTGCACACTGTAAATTAGTGTGTGATACTGACTGCACGTTTTCTGTGATACAGAAATATTGCACGATGCTGTGATGGTCATTGCAGAAAAAGTACAACATTAAATTAATTGCTTCACTGTTAAAAATTCTGTACTCAAAAACAGAATTCATACAGATCGTGCTGTACTTCCATACTTCGGTCAAAATCTGTTCGACTGGTATTTGAGGGATATAGACTTGACATTGCTTGAAAAGAACTTTCCTCCAGAAGGTATACAGTGCAAACTACAGGATTATACTGCTTTTAAAATTACCAGTCCATTCTGTAGGTATTCACTGTTGTAATTCTTAACAGTGTTATTTGTTGTGACTAGCACTTATTTGAGCGATACTTCGAGGTGTCATAGTTTTGTGCAATGTGCAACACCGTTTTGCGATAAATCCGGAATCGTCGCATTATTTTGTATGTATCACAGAAAATTTGTGATAAGAACGCATCACTCCCCCAGGAGTGATAAATCATGGGAATCACACGGGACATTTTATCTAACGAAAATGTGTGATAAGTATCACACTTCGAATTAAAGTGAGCGCGCACGCATTATTGCAACACGTGTTGACGTGTTATGTAAATACATTCGCGTCTCCTGGGAAAACAAAGGAATAGGACTTTGCAAAGAAAATCCTGACTTTACCGATTTCGTAAAAACACCCTGAAAAAGAAGGAAAGTAGCCATGTTCATCATAATGCTTATCTTCTACACACTAAAAGCTTATGAACATTTTTATTCATAGCTTACTGAGTTCTGTGTTCATACCGGCGAATTGAAAACTGCGTGATAAATAGATATGTTCATAAGCTTTTAGTGAACCTTATTTTATTTTTAGATCATTTTGTAAAAATATTTGAATGCTCGTAAAAATTGTCCACAATGATTAGGTGGCGACTGAGCTATAGAAGGGGATGCGAGAGGGGATAGCACGGTGTAGTGTTAGATGCGGTTAGATGGTGTGTCGGGGAGTGGCATGGTGGGGCGTGGCGGGGCGGAGCGTGGTTGCGCGGGAGCCCTGAGAGCGAAATGGCAGAGGCATGGCTGGTTTGGATGACGCACTGCGGGGAGCTGGTCTGCGCGCGAAACCAGATATCCTTCTTGCTTATGCATCAGAATAAAACATTTCGCATGTTGCTTTCACTGACTGAATGGCAAACTGAGAGAGCCTCTCTGGAAATCGAACGAAACGAAAGGAAAGGGGGCGGAGGAGGAGGGGGCAAAGCGGGATATGTACTACCCACCGCGTGGAGGGAAACAGTAGAAAAGATGGGAGATGGGGGCACCGAAGCGAGAGTACTGATACTGGTTTGCGATTCATTTACTGCAACTCTGCGATATGTTTTTGCAAATCCCTAATCCGTGCAACGTTGCGCATCCGCGGAAAATGTATCTTTTTTAAAAATAAAACTCATCTCTGTTGCCGGGTCATTGCGCGGGCCTCTGCATCTGCACAGTCTCCGGCCGGCCGGGCGTTCCTAGTGCGGGCGCATCGTCGGCCGAGGTGTGCGGCGGTGCGCGTGCAAGGCGAGCCCTAGAAGGCCCAAGGCGGCGCGGCACTATACTATAAAAAAACTTCCCAAGAAAGTCGTTTCGACACGCGAGAATGAAAACCGCTCACCTCTAGCGACCGTTTAGAAAACCGCTTACCTCTGGCAACCGTCTGGAAAACCGCTCACCTCTGGCGACCGTCTGGAAAACCGCTTAAATGACTTTTTTACACATTTTGAGATATTGGTATCTATAGAATCAGCGTCTTTCCGGGATCATTTTGATACCAATATCACAAAATGTGTTAAAAAGTAATTTAAGCGGTTTTCCAGACGGTCGCCAGAGGTAAGCGGTTTTCCAGACGGTCGCAAGAGGTAAGCGGTTTTCTAAACGGTCGCTAGAGGTGAGCGGTTTTTATTCTCGCGTGTCGGTTTGCGGAGGATTCGGTTTTACAGTATCCCCGCTCCTCCTGCCACCCCTGCTGCACCCGGAGCGCACCTTGGCAGTGCGCGCGCGAATACCGCCCCCTCGCGCTAGCTGCGCTGCGCTTACGGCCGAGCCGACTTAAACTTTTTTTTTAGTTCGGCCCCTTACTGGAGTGGAGGGAGCGGGTAAAGCGCACGAACGGGGCGGAACTTTTCCCCGCGCAGAAAACTCAACACAAGTGTGTGAAGGCTGTCTGCATGTAGGAGTATAGACCTGCACACCTGCAGGTACATACAGGCACACGCCGTAGTTGTGCAATAAGATTTCACAACATCCGGTGTATGTGAAATTGTCACTAACATTAACCCACACCTATGCCTCTCTACAATAGAAACGGAAATATACATACACTGTTTGCAGCATGTGACACGTTCGCACACTTGGTTTTCCTGTGCCGCGCTTTCGCGCATTCTACGCATCACCGTGGCTGAAGAATAATAAAGAGCAAGAGGAGGAACGGAAGCGACAGTGAAGTAGCAGCGTCCTCCTTGACAAAGGAAAGGAAGAGCGGCGGAAAGCAGCGGAAAATCGAAAAAGGTTCGATTTGCAAACGATTTTATTTGCAGCTAATGCAACGAATTTTGGATTAATTGTAACACGCACCAGTTCTTCCTAAGCTTGCAAACTATTTCTTTTATATATGTACGCACAGTTTGCAAGGAATCGGACAGATTATTGTGGGGAGGGAGGGGGAGGGAGAGGGAGGGAGAGAGAGAGAGAGAGAGAGAGAGAGAGAGAGAGAGAGGAGGGGGAGTCAAACAGCGACAGGAGGGGGAACACGAAAGGGGAGAGGGATTTTGGTTGAAGGCAGGGCGGCACGGCACGCAGTGTAGTGCGTTAGTCATTTTCCTATGACCGCCATAGCCCGTAGCGCAGACCCCCCCCCCTAAACCCC